CAAACAAGGGAAGCTGTGGTTGACATTCTCGAACACACCTCATGATTTGACTCTCACTTAACCTGTGTAGCTTAAAACCGACTTTAAAAAATGCTAACAAAACGTTCTTACGACGTCGGACCACGAGAAAGTTCAATTCTCCTTTCTTATATAACTGAGTCGCTGAGGGAAGCTGACAAGCAGCTTTAGCAAAATTAGATCCAAAATTGTTTGGAATTTTGAGAAAAGCGAAGGAGACGGGGCTGGACACTGCGGGCCAAAACTTTCAAATTAAGCACATCCGCTTTTCGGAAGAAAGAGTCAATAGCAAGTTGAAGAGATAAGAAATGGGGGGGGGGGGGTATCATATTTACATAATAACAGTAATCACTTCTAAAAGTGTCAGACAGAACACTGCACGTCAAGTGTACTTACCATTTAGTTAACTGAACTGACGACAAAATGTTAGCTCAAAGAGACTAAACTTCCCGTTACTTGCTCTAGTCTACTCGGAGAGACATGATCAGTGGAAAAAGATTGTGCCAATCCATAAAAAATCACAATGTTTTACCATTGCACCAACTAGAGCAGACTCTCACGTGCCATACAGCTGTTACTACCGCTACGATGAACCAGAAGAAAAATTTCTTGACAAAATACAACCAAAGGATCGTGAAAATATAAACGAGAAACTAGAAAAGCCAGGTTAAAAGCACTTGCAGTTAGATACAATTCATACATTACAAAATAAAGCAAAAATGTAAACTAGCATTTTTAAAAACAAAAACTACCTGTTTCGTATGTCTTGTTTTGTTTTTGACTTTCGCGCAAAGATTCTCGAGAGCTATCTGCGCTAGCCGTGGAGGGAAAGTCAACTCTTGGAATCGACTGACACGTGATAACGCCCCCTCCCCTCTGCTGAAAGGACAAGCATGTTCAGGGATGAGATTCGAACCCGCGACCCTCAGATTACGGTTCGAGTGCCCCAACTACCAGGCCATGCTGGGCCTGATTCGTATGAAAAAATTTTGACATATTTTCACGTTCGAACTTTTTTTTTCTTTCAAATAATAAATGAGACACATCCACGTGGTAGAGCTCCAAACATCGGAGATGGCGAGCCGGACTGGAATCCGTGTGATGCCATAAAATATTCCCTGCACTTTAAGCTGTGGGTGCGTTATAAGAGTGGCAATCAATCTCTTAGTGTTTAGTGAGGTGTAGAGTCCTTAGCAGTCTTTGCCATAAATACAAATAATAAGTAGCGTCTCATATCTGTGCCAAAAGACTAAACTTTGATAGCCACTATACACAAGCAGTAAAGTAAACGTATTATTCACATGAGGTAATTAAAAGCTGTGAAACATTTTAGTTATTCATTTATATCTATAAATGTTTGTATAGCATTAATATAAACCATACTTTGATATCATATTCATAATATATAAATATAGTACACTTTCAAAAAATGAGCACTGTCGACATATTAGATTTCTCCAGCAAAACAAAGGAAACAACAAATTAAATTTTTGGAAACTGACATGATCTCTCTCTCATTTAAATTATATATATATGTGTATTTTAAGAAATGAAAAAGGTCAACATTCGTGGGGGGAATGGCAACGTCTCCGCCACGCAATCCCAATTTAGACAACAGAAAAATCGAAAACTGTCTATATCACTGCTTGAGACCTACAAGAAAGTATCTTTCTACCAAATCCCGCGCAGATTGGTTGACATACACATGAATAGTTCATAAAAACCGAAACTGTGCAAAAGAAGACACTTCCAAAACTGTCTATATTTCTGTTTACGATCTACAAAAAAGTACGTTTGTACTACATCTCACGTAAATTGGTCGAAATATGGCTAAGTAATTGACCAAACCCCCTAAAATTATGGGGTTATTTAATATTTTGATCCTCCCTTAGAAAGACCAAAATTGGACAAATCAAACGTTTTGTTTGTATATATATATATATGGGACGTGTAATAATATCTTTGTACCAAATTCCATGTAAATTGGACAAAATACAGCGGAGTAATTGTCAAAAAAAAACCCTAAAATTATGCTTTTTGTGGCATCTTGAACTCTCACTAATCAATAAAAATGAACAAGTCCACTATTTTTGTTTGTCAATGTATCGGACCTGTTGAAAATATCTTTGTACCAAATCCCACGGAAATTGGTCAAAATATGGCCGAATAACTGAACAAAACCCAAAATTATGCTTTTTGTGAGCTCTGACTGGGCGCATGAAAATTTATACTTGTGCCAACTTTCATCTTGATTGCTGTAAATATCATCGCACAGGAGTCTAAAATATACAATTTTAGGGTTGTTTCACCTTAGAAAAAGGGGTCTGGGCGTTAGGATTGTCTCACCTTTGAAAAGGGGGTCTGGGCGAATTGGAAGAAGAAGAAACAACAGAAAAGCAGTGGAAGAAGAAACAATAGAAAAACAGTGGGAAACAATAGAAAAACATTATTCTTCAACCACTCTATATTTGGCATATCCATTTCTGACGACAAGTTTTGCTGAATCCAGAGCTCATCAGGGAGGCTGGGGCAAAACAAACACAGCCGTTTGTTACAAGAACAATTGTTTCGGCGAGACCGCCTTTTCCAAACTTGCCAAGCATGATTTTAATTAATTTACTTGTTATTATACATTAGCATTAGACCCCCTCGGCTATAAGGGCGAGCATGTTCGATGATGGAAGTTCAGCCCGCGACTCGCAATATGGCGAACACAGTATGGTTGGAACACCATTATTATACACTTTTCAAATTCTTGAGAATCCCTGAGGGACTAGATTATAAAATGTAGTGTTTGAAAATATAATAGACCTAATGCTAATGTCTAATGACAAGTAAGTTACTTATAATCATGTTTTGCCGGCTTCGAAAAGGCGTTCACACCATTACAATTAGTGTTATTATTCTTAGTGCCGTGTTTGTTTGTTTGTTTGTTTTTGGAATTTCGCGCAAAGCTACACGAGGGCTATCTGTGCTAGCCGTCCCTAATTTAGCAGTGTATGACTAGAGGGAAGGCAGCTAGTCATCACCACCCAACTCTTGGGCTACTCTTTTACCAACGAATAGTGGGATTGACCGTCACATTATAACGCCCCCACGGCTGAAAGGGCGAGCATGTTTGGTGGGATGCGGATTCGAACCCGCGACCCGCAGATTGTGAGTCGAGCGCCTTATCCACCTGGCCATGCCGGGCCCTTAGTGCTGTGTTTCTTTTTGTCTGATTTTCAGAGTTTGCATAACTATCTTAAAACGTATTAAAACAGTCATATATATCAACTTATATATTTTCATTCCATTACATGTTGTGTGTCTACGTTTTTACCTGCCAACGGTTGGAGAATTTTACCGCCAACTTTAAAGAGGTTCAAAATAACTACATATCAGTCCTACCACACACGCATATGTCTCCTGACATTACGCTGCTCGCCTAGTTAAAGAAGCCAAGTTGCAATTGATTATTTGAATACCACGAGTAAAAAGAATGTTTATCATCTCTGCTACGCCCCTGATGGCTCAGTGTAAGTCATTAATTAATCTTAACAAAAAATATTTATCGTCTCTGATACGCCCCTGGTGGCTCAGTGTAAGTCAATAATTAATCTTAACAAAAAAATGTTTATCGTCTCTGATACGCCCCTGGTGGCTCAGTGTAAGTCATTAATTAATTTTAACCTAAAAATGTTTATCATATCTGATACGCCCCTGGTGGCTCGTGTAAGTCATTAATTAATCTTAACAAAAATGTTTATCATATCTGATACGCCCCTGGTAGCTCAGTGTAAATCATTAATTAATCTTAACCAAAAATGTTTGTCATATCTGATACGCCCCTGGTGGCTCAGAGTAAGTCATTAATTAATATTAACCTAAAAATGTTTATCATATCTGATACGCCCCTGGTGGCTCATTGTAAGTCATTAATTAATATAAACAAAAATGTTTGTCATCTCTGATACGCCCCTGGTGGCTCAGTGTAAGTCATTAATTAATCTTAACAAAAATGTTTATCATATCTGATACGCCCCTGGTGGCTCAGTGTAAGTTATTAATTAATCTTAACCTAAAAATGTTTATAACCAGACAGCTTTTCTAATTATTAGATGTGTAACACCGTGTAATTTAACAGAAAATTTAGAGGCACAAAGGCTACTCGTTTTAATCGTTTATTTTTTAAAGAGAAAATCCTGTTATGTAACTGAATGTGGTCAAAGTGTTATTTATTTGTGTATCCTATATATACAATATAAGTTATAAAAACACAAAATTAGTTGAAATTGCTTTAAGGCGAAATCCTGAACATTTAACCTTATCTTCTACTCGTTTGAGAAATTTAACACAAACCATTTTGTTCTTATAAATGGCGCGTAACACTAACACACAGATTACTTGTTAATAAAATGTTTGCACTGTACAGGCATCATGCGATTAGATCCTGACAGACACCTTAACTTCTAATCACAAGTGTCAGTACTTTCCTGTTAAGTAAGAGAACTAGAAAGTTAAGAGTTGTGTTGTGAATTAGCACAACATAAATTGTGTTCCCACAAACTTGTGAGAACTATATTTCATTGTTGTAACAATATAAACACAATTACAACATACAACTATAGACTGTCAAATATGATTAATACATATTTTATGTTCAAGTGTCAAATATCCTTTATTCTAACGCTCAATTATTTCGTCATTGGTAAACTTGTTTCGGTTTTATAGACCCGGACTTTCTACATTAAACCTACTGTACCCTTCTTACGTACTTGCAACACAAAGAATACACGAAATTTTGAAATGTATTGAGTATTATAGCCATTTCAGGTAGTTTACGATGTCAAGTATGAAAGTAATACGTTGTATATATATATATATATGTGTGTGTGTGTGTTTATTTAACGAAAAACATTATAAGTCCCCTCCGCCCACGCGGTAAAAATAAATACTAACTTAGAAGCTAGTGGCAAAGATAAAGCCAACAGAGCATCAGTGGGCGCGCTGTTTCTGATCAGCTCAAGGATTGGGAGTGGTCTGAGTCTGCGCAGATGCTGCTGTAGGCATAGATACGTTAATGTTATAAAGTCTACCTTACTGAACGGATCTGAGCGTAATCAAGACGGGTTTTGTTTTTGTTTTTTTTTCAACTGCCGTTGAGAAATACAAGTTGAGAGCTTGTACGGTTTCAAAATGTCGTCGTCGGATAGCAGAGTTGATACGAACTACGTTAAAAGCGTGCCCGGACTAATACGGATAGTACAATTGGTAAGTCGTTACACAGTATATCATTTGATTAATGCTGAACAACTTCCACGTCAAAAATTGTGTTACTCAGAGCAAACGTCCTGTTAACACTCTGTTACCGGTTCAAAACTCCCTAACCGTGAAGCTTCGACAATATGCCACTTTTTAACAATATAAAACCAGACGGGATTGTCACAGGTAAATATTTTGTTTAGAACTGTTGGTGTATGTATGTATGTATGTGTGTGTCTATATGTTTTTACATACACACACACACACACTCTTACAGGTGGTTATTGAAACTGTTTAACTGCTGGTTAAGACACCCGTGAACGTAACCCAGGAATGAAGTTATATATATATATATTTAAATAAATAATAATAAAAATACATCATCAATCATCAAAGTCGTTGCTTCAACTACGCCAAGTGGCTTTCAAGTTCCAGTTAGGGTTCATTTGTTACATTACTTTAGTAAGGAAGCGCATTATGCTAATATATTATAGGTAGACAAACAACGATTTATAAATATAAGGAGGAATTTTATTGATCGTGGAACATACTACATGTTTCGACAGAGCATTAGTGTGTCTTCTTCAGAAACAACTAGTATATTCCACCATCAATAGCATTCTTCCAACCATTTTTATAAATCGTTGTTAGCCTACTCAATATTATTATATGTTATGTTAATAATTATATATCATTCTGTTACTTTTTTTTTTCTGGTTGGTTAACTTACAGGCCTAGAATGTTCGATAGTGTTTCTAGTCCTACTCTTATTACGTTGGTTCAGAATAGGCTCGGGAAATTCCATTACAACGACAGTTTTCACTGCCCATATAAGGTGTTTCCCCAATACTTAATTTAAAACACTGTATTTCTTGTTTTAACAATGTACCTGTTTTATCTCCTTAATATAGGGAACTGTTCACGTTTTACGTTATTTGAACCACTTGTGTTTTAATATCGCATTATGGATACGTCGAGAAACTCACGTGAAACGACCTCGCAAAATGCCAACCTTTCGTTTCATTCGTTCAGCCAAAAGTAGGAAGTCACGTGACCATAAGTTGATACGTGGGTTCTGTGCGTTGTGAAATTTCCGTTGGGATTAACTTGTTTTGACACTGTGTGTTAATTTTCTAAAATCGACTGTGGTGGTGGGTTGGATGACGTCAGAGAAAAAACACACCAAAATCTCGTTTATGATATTCACATAATTTGAACATAACCCATTAACACACACCCTCTAATTTACAACATTTAATTTAATAATACCCGTACATTTTGGTTATAGAGGGCGTCTCGTTATGTGTTCATAGTCTCACTTCCTCCTAACTTCTTTGGTAGAGGAACTATAAGCCATATTCCCGCCCTGTAAAGTGTATTCGATAGCAAATTAAAACCACTCGGAGATAAGACTTACAATCATATTTCAAAAAAATAAATCGCTATTTCGTTACTCAATAATGATAATTCATACCAACAAAAATAAACACATGATTCTTTACTCCATCTAATATAAAATAAATTCAGATGTAAATGTCTTCGTACTCGTGCTAGTTAAGGGGTCAAAACTCTGTCCTATTTGAAGTGACCTATTTTCGTCCAATCTGAGCTGTAAATCTTCATTACTAACCCCTAACAGTAACAGCGAAGTAATCATACAGTCACAAAAAAAAAAAAATCACGATTTAATTATTTTGCTTCAGTGAAGCCTGAAGACGCAATTCCAACACAAGTCCTAGTGTAAGTCTGTGGGGACGCACCCCCAAAGAGAAGCACGGAGAGTCGGTAGGGGGCGCAACTACGAATACGGAAGTATATCAACTTTATCCGAAAATACAAACTTAAAAACAAACAAGTTTTTAAAAATCATCATACAGATATTACTACTATTAAGTAATATAGTAACAACAATGTTTGGAGACGGATGGGGTGGGGGGGGGGGGACCATAAAAAAAAGTTTACGCATCTCTGCCGTATATACAAATGAAAAAAGAAAGAAATAAGTCGTGTGTAGAACCCAAAGGTACAGCTTAAGTGTTGAAAACAGGTGATTTTAATCTTCAAATATAAAAACCATCAACACAAAAAGTTTTTGGCGCAAGGATCTGCTCAACTTTGCCATATAAAAATAAAAAAGTCACTGACCATTGAAACCAATCGATTTCGTTAAAACTCTGTTGATATTGGGGGGGGGGGGCAGAGAAGTTAACATCCCACCTGTTTCATAAAAGAAACTCCTTACATATATCACCCCCCAAACTAATAATATGTTTAAGAATTTTCAAAAGCTTCACACATTTGAACTGTGGTATTGAAAAAACACACACTAAGAAACCACATTTCTTACCCTATCTTGCGAACTTGTACCAGGTTCTCCGGCTTTCCACGTTTCTTACCCTATCTCGCGAACTTGTACCAGGTTCCCCGGCTTCCCACATTTCTTACCCCTATCGCGCGAACTTGTACCAGGTTCCCCGGCTTCCCACATTTCTTACCCTATCGCGCGAACTTGTACCAGGTTCTCCGGCTTCCCACGTTTCTTACCCTATCTCGCGAACTTGTACCAGGTTTTCCGGCTTCCCACATTTCTTACCCCTATCTCGCGAACTTGTACCAGGTTTTCCGGCTTCACACATTTCTTACCCTATCTCGCGAATTTGTACCAGGTTTCTAGGTTCCGAAATCCACAGTGATAACCACGAATGTTTAAGTTCTGATGACAATCCTGAATATTCGGAACTGATGTAACACTTTAAGAGACGCATTCGGTTTGTTGAATACTTTTGCGCAAAACTACAAAAAAAGGCTAGCTGCGCATAGTTGTCGCTAATTTTGAACTGACAGACTAGGAGGAAGGCAGCTAGTAAATTTGTTTATACTTGTAAAGATTAGAATTGTTTCGTCAGTTGTGTACTCTCGCTGTTAACGACATTTTCGGCCGCAATCCCAATAATATCTCACAAGATTCGGAGAGTTTAGGAGATTTAGGTTAGTCCTAAATACACATATTACGCTACAAATGCAAAACAAGGAGGAAAAAGTCAAATGCACCTGATCCTCCCAGGTCTATAAGACCTAAACTCCGATAAAGATCACATACAGACAGACAGCTAGTCAACAGTACCCACAGCCAACTTTTAGTCTACTCTTATGTGACTGAATAGTGGGGTTTGACCGTTCACTCTTCTACCCCACCCACGGTTCCAAGGTGTGGACACGTTTTTGAGGCAACGGGATGCAAGCTATGAATCGCTAAGCCACACCCGGTCCTCATTTGGAAGTCATGAATCAATATACTGTCCTGTTATTAGTTGGTAACAGGTCGGCCAGAGAGAGAAAACTGCAACAATACTATGAGATGAACAGCGTCATTTTCTTTTTTAAACATGCATGATCTTTTATAACCATATAGTTTCAATTTATTAAACTTGATTCGGCGAAAACCTAATATAATAAAATACAAACAATAATCAAAACAACATATGGCGTCATCTGGTACAGTATTAACACAGATGCTTTTCAAACAAATAAAATCACGTGACTCTTTCGTATTTCAGAAGTACCTGTGCTGTACTCACCACGGGTATCGAAACGCAGATTTTTATCGTTATAAATCCGCAGACTCATCGCTGAGCCACTGAGGGACTATGTTCGTTAGAAAGATGTTTCAGGAATTAATTAGGCTAAAGCATAAACGGGACGTGAACCACGGCCTCTTCGACAATTTACGTGAATTTAAATAATCTCCCAAGTTGCACTGCCGTCTGTTTCACAGATAATTATAACTGTTCCGTTAGAGGGTTTACGTCAGTCAAAAGTCCGCCCTTAACTACCCACGTGGGTAATAAAGTTTCTTTCACTACCCATTCAAGCCGTCTCCAAGTTTCATTTTTTTAAAAAGTGTTTTCCTCGTCGTCAAATGTTAACTGTCACAGAGTTTTATTTATGTTCAGTAGGTTTCTTATGTACCAAAAACACTGGAATTGTGTAGATGTTGTTCATATTATAGAAAAACCTACCGTAAAGTTTCACAAATACAATATTAGCTTAGTGCACCTGGTGACTCGCAAGGCTGTAGGAATAACCACCCATAGTCTACCAAACTTACCGCCTCCACCTCGTCCTTGTAGTGCACGTGACAGATCTATATAGGGACATGATTTGAATATATTTCCCGTTTTGTTGATCCAGTGTTTCGATGCACCTATATTTCACGTTTTGTTGATCCAGTTTTTTGATGCATCTATATTTCACGTTTTGTTGATCCAGTGTTTTGAAGCATCTAATTCGAGTTTTGTTGATCCAGTGTTTGATGCATCTAATTCACGTTTTGTTGATCCAGTGTTTTGATGCATCTATATTTCACGTTTTGTTGATCCAGTGATTTGAAGCACCCACATTTCACGTTTTGTTGATCCAGTGTTTTGTATCGACGAAGATATCACTTATTACAAATATATAAATTGTGATATATGGATATAGCTTGCAGATAGACCGACCTGTAAACAAATTATAGATACGAGAAAGTGTGCGAATTAACTGTTTCAAAATATATAGCTTGGGGACGGCTTGAATGGGAACATAATGATACATAAGCTTGTCGAAACATTGTACGTTTTCTATATTTACGTTTTGTTGCTCCAGTGTTTCGATGCACCTTGGTCCAGTGTTTTGATGCATCTATATTTCACGTTTTGTTGATCCAGTGTTTTGAAGCACCTATATTTTACGTTTTGTTGCTCCAGTGTTTCGATGCACCTATATTTCACGTTTTGTTGGTCCAGTGTTTTGAAGCACACTGGATCAACAAAACGTGAAATATAGGTGCTTCAACACACTGGACCAACAAAACGTGAAATATAGGTGCTTCAAATTACTGGGTCAACAAAACGTGAATTAGATGCTTCGACAAGTACTGAATAGTTATACTAATGTACATTTTTACACAATCTAAACCACCGATTCTCAATCTGTGGTCTGTGGTCTTCCGTTAGATGATCCATCGAAAG